GACATATGTTGAACTGATGTTGAACCAATGTTGGACGTGTTGAAGCAAAGTTGAACCGCGTGATCTTCCAATGTTTGACATGTTCAACTGATGTTGAACCAATGTTGGACATGTTGAAGTGATGTTGGACCAATGTTGTCAAGTGTGTTGTTTAACGTTGGTCTTGTGGTGAAAAGTCAAATCAACAAATGAAATGTGTGATCACCAATGTCCATTATTGCACCAACGTTCGAAAAAAAAAAATAAAAAAAAATAAAATTATGTTGCAGAGAGCATACCCGCTGCAAGTGAGAGAAGAAGCGACCCTTTGTCCCTTCCTCGACCGGACACTTTTTGAAGAACCCACAACCCTCAGACCTGTGCGCCCCCTCCCCCCCCCCCCCCCCCCCCCCCCCCCCCCCCGAAAAAAAAAAAACATTATTGGATAACAACAGCCGACGGGTCGCCGACAACATCGCCGAGTGCCACGTCAACGGTAAGAGTGTGCCACTTTATCGCCGTACGAACGCACCACGTCATTGCGGCAAGGACGAGAGAAAAAAAGTATGGGAAACGACAAAGCTACAACAAACAGAGCATTCAACTCTCCTCCTCAAACTGTCAACCTGAAGAACGCTCCTACTTCCAGTTCTTCCTCTGCTCCTTCTTTCTCCCCCCCTAGAGATTGACCATCCATCATCGCTCTCTCTCTCCCCCATACCCAAGCACACTAACAAGATGGCAGACCAACAACAGGTGGGCAAATGAAGAAGTCACCAGGAACTTCCAGCAGAAGAGTAAGAAAACACCCTCATCCATGAAGAATGGTGACGCAGGAATGAATGATGATCGTGACGAAGACAAGATTCATCCATGAAGAGTTATCAAAATCCATCCCCATCCATCCATTCACCGATGCATCCATTCATCCATCCATCCATCCATCCATCCACAAGCGTACACAAGAAGATGAACAGACCAAAGGAGCGAAAAAAAAAGGCGCGCGAAATACAAAAAGCGCGCGAAATAAAAAAAGCGCGCGAGCGAATGATGATGATGACGAGGGCTTGATAGAGACTGGGGACGGTGATGTATATCCTTGTGTTTTTTTAATCCAGATGATTTTCTTCGTCCCTACCATTCCTGTTCCGAACCCGTGAGTCATTACCAGCACCACCTGCAAATCCATCCGAAAAATGTAACCCATCTTCACCGTACACCTCCGGCACACCCAACTTCCCTTGGACTATCAGGGCATACTCACACTAGCACTTTCCCAAATGTATCTGACCGCAGTTGCAGTTACCCCAGCAACGACATCCAAAGCTCAGTGAAAGAAGTCCCCGTGTGAGTATGCCCACTGACCCACCCACTCACACTACATAGCTTCGGCGATACGCCTCCTCTTCGGATTTCCCCACGCTGTCCCTCTCAGGCTGCCCATGGACTTTGCGTCCCAGCCTTCCCTGCCTTTGGCTGCCTGCCCCACCCCTCCCGGAGCGTTGCAACGGCAGCGCCTCGTTGTCTTTTTCGGCGCAGATCGTTCTCCGTTTTCCACACTGGCAGGCTAGCTTCTCATCGCGATGTGTTCAATGCACATACTCAATGATGATGGCCGCGTGCGATATCCGCACGCAAAACGACACGAAAAAGAAACACAGTTAGTGAAATCTTTAATTCTCTTTTTTTTTTATTTTTTATTTTTTTTTAATTATTTTTTGCGAGCTCTCGCCCTATATTGGAGACTCGTCTGTTTTTTAAAAAAAAGAAAAAGACTCGTCTGATGCTGAACGAGGCTTTCCATTCGTCATGTTTCTACAACAGATCAAATTGGGGGAACCGAAAAAAACAACATGTAACACCCTTCCAACAATAACCAGTCGACAAAGTACAGAACAACCTAAATGAGGGAGAGAATTACGCACCTTTTTTTAAGTGACCGAATTGACCACACTCTAACACTCTCTTCGCCCAATCAATCAATCAATCAATCAATCAATCAACCAATCAATCAATCAATCAAACGGTGAAGAGTCAATAGATGCTTCAGCAACACAGCCATAACTTGCACCTGTTCCATAACAACGAGCTCTCGCGCATATGAAGGCAGTCGCTCAGCCTTATGAAGAGTGGTACGGTGGAGACTCAGTGAGCAAACAAAGTATGTGCCGCACTCGGAGGAACACGAAGTCTATTAGACAGTGCGACGGGCTGCAAAAAAACTGACTATAGAGATGTGGAGAAGAGAGACACAGAGAGAGGGAGAGAATCTGCCAACTCGGTAGTTTAATAAACTCTAGAGTGTAAAAGAACAATGCGCAAGTTTGCGTACGCACGAATCGGAGAGACAACGATCACTGCGGTCTGTGACAAACTGTTTCCTCAGAGTTTATATACATATATATCATATATATATATATATATATCGTCAGAAACATAACTGCCCGGTGAACTGTAGGCAGAGAGAGAGAAGAGGACAACAAACGAGGGCTATATATATGTATATATACATATATATACA